CAAAGCTAAAGGGTCGAGTTTATTTTTACTTGACAAACCTGGACGTCATCCAATCAGTGTTGAGCGCGGAGACTGTAAACGAGTGTACACACAAATGGTTTTCCGCCTTCGGTGCGTGAGTTACGTGCGAGACTGCAGTTTCGTCGACCGAGCTCTATAAAAAATACGTCGAAAAAATACGAAAAAAAAAAAGTTAAAATAAATAGGATTTGACGAAATAGATAACAGTGAACCCGAATGATACTCGTCCGGGAATTCGCCGGCACAAATATCGTCGTGTGACATTCGACGAGTTTTGAAAATGGAAGAGCCAGGTTGGTACCTATATAATATTTTATATAATCGTTACATAATGTTACTTGTGTGCGTTATCGTATCGCTATCCAGTAATATAGTGAAGGAATCGAAGGTTTTCAAATATTAAAATTTTAAAAACTATACAAAAAATTAAAAAAACCATTAGTTTGGTAATTAATAACGTATTTGATAACGTGTAGAAATAGAAAATAAACAGATTGTTCAACGCTTACTGTTTTGGAAAAAATTGTATATGCTTTTGCCAGTTTAAAAACAATATATAAAATAAGGTATAATTATTATTTCATATGGTCGACGCATCAGCGGAGATAGGTTAATTTTTTTTTTTTTTTTTAATGACTTCTGTCGTCAAATTTTTTAGTACATTTCTATACCATTTTATATTTATGAACACCCAATCATATGATAAAAAATTTACATATGGACGTTCAATAACAATACTAACATTCAATATATGTGTTTAAATATAAATTAAAATCGACGAATGCTTATAATCATTTTCATAAATAACAGATTTTATTGATCGATTTTTAAATAATGATCTACACATGTATATTCGTTAAATCCGTTTTCTTTTAACGTAATTTCTATACTAAAGAAATATTTAAACAGTTTATTAATTATATTAAAACCGATTAGATGCACACAAATCAGGGAACAGCCATGTATCGGACAGTTCATCATTGGACAGATCAACTTCCAGAAGATCAACTCCAGGTAGATCTACTTCAGCTAGGTCTCCTTCAAATAGGTCTACTCCGGGTAGATCCATTTCAGGCAGGTCTACATCAGGCCGGTCCACCCCGGGCTGGTCTAACTCCGGCATGTCTACTTCGGGTAGGTCAACGCCGGCCATGTCCACGACACCGGCCAGGTCCACTCCAGACAGATCGACTACACCCGAACCTCCACCAGTTCCGCCAGCTACCTATCACTGGGAGGAAGTGAAGAGAAAAAGATCGGTGGGAGGATACCCGTGGACCCATCTGAATAAGCCACCGTTTGACGAGAATACTTGGGTGAAGTATGAAAGGCAAGTACACCGTCAATCACGCTGTCAACCCGTTAAAGTACGTTAGTTTAATTCTTAAGTAAAAATAAATCACATTTATTAAGACCGTATCATGTTGTCTAACCTAATGTGCGCGGGGAACACAATTTCGCTATTGATGCACCTGCCGTAGGCGTTTCGTATAACAATGCCAAATCAAAAATAAATATATTTTTTCACATAATAATAAAAATAACTATAGATCCCAATGATGAACCCAAGATTATTACAACGGATAACAGTTTGATAAATATTATCCAAATATTCAAGTGGTTTAAAACCATTTACATCAATTTTATAGCAAAAAATGTTTGCATTTAAATATATTTTTGCTGTTTTGGTAATGGGAAAGCTAATAGGTGCACATTCTAAACGCTACGATTATCAATGTTCATTTCTTAGGACAAAAATAAGCTTACTTCGAGTGCGGTGCGCATGTTATAATTAATTATCCTTTCGTTTTTAAACAATAATAACATTTATCTTATGATAAGATATTAGCTACTGAATAATTTATATGTACCACGAATTCTTCTTAAACTATGACATAGTTTATATGCAAGACGTTATGTGTATAATTTTTTTTCGTTTCCTGTTAATATAATGGTTGTGTCCGGCGGAAGTTATATTTTTTGAAATTTTTTATAATTCGGTAAATAGCGTTAACTCGAAATATCCACTTAAAAACATTGTACATCGGTTTTGAAAAGAAATCATTAAGTATACGATTAGTATTGCTTATATAATATTAAATTAATACTTAATAGTTTAATTACACGTTAGCTACATGCAAACATTATTCTGGCGAATTTTTGAACAAGCCAAGAACGTAGTCACATGACAATATTTAATAATATAATTTTAGCAAACTATCGGGTACAATGACACCATACCTGCTGTTTGATGGTGCATTTGGCTCTCTAATATGACAAAAATCTTAACTATTGGCCAAAAGATTTTAGTTGGAACTTGGAGGCAAAACATAAATAAATAACATAACATAACACACGTCTGATTATTCAGAATATGCCGTACGGCCAAAACACTTTTGGCAACTGTTATACAATAATTTCGATTTTTTTGAACGTAAAATCGAGCACGATTGTGTGGCGCATGGCGATGTTGAATCTGGGGAATGTCTGACAATTCAGTGTAGTCCGGAAGTCATTTGTGGCCGCAGCTGGTCTTCCGACGTCACTGAATGATAGTTATTTTCTTCAGAGATGCAAAAAGCACTGTTAAATTTCAAAAATCGTAACTAACTCGAAAAATCATTCACGAATCAAACAAACGTCGCAATGGGGTGAGTACACATTGTACAAAAAATGTCATCATAATTTGATACTTGATGGTTTTTAACGAACTGGAAAAAGAAAAAAAAATTACTATTTTATTTATGAAACTAACATTCGGCTTATAGAGTCGTATCGTTCTATATTAAGGCTAACTATAATTAGTGTTGTAATTATTTTTTTTTAAAACTGACACATTTTTAACAAGAAAAAAAAAAGAAAAATTAATACGTACAAAAAACGCATGGTTTAAATCGCTCATCTATAGTTATATAAAACCGTAATAACTGAGGGATGCAGTGTTGCATATAAAAGAACGCTTTTACTTGTGAAGTCTGTAATATACGTATTACGCGATTAAGCACGAATAATATATTATTTCAAACGCATCTTGACCGCCACCGGCTAGCGAAAGAATAATCTAATGAAAACTGCTAAACGTATTACGGGCACGGCGGCTATACGAACACGATATGTATATAGGTACACGCCGGATCTTAACCACATATCTACTGTCTACTTTTAGCTCCGGCATAAACGATACCTATAAATAAATTTTCGCTCTCTCGCGAGAAGATTCTTGGCATGTCGGATTCTCTCCGTCTCCGTTGTCGCCAAATAATAAATAAATTTAACCCTTCTGTTGTTACGCGTCCGTTTTTTTTTCAACAGCGCCCGTTCCGCCGTGAACCCGTTCCAAATTTTCAACAGCGCACTATACGTTTTTAAAAATACTTATTTTAACCACTACTCCGTTGAATGTTTCAGGGATCACGTATACGAACCCGTTACGCCGGCGGCCAGCACGGATCGGATATTGGCGCCGGTGGTCAAACAGGTGCAGGCGTCCGCCAAAGACGACGGCCGTCATTTCCTGCGCATACCGTTAACCGAGGAACTGGTGATGGCTGACGACACGGGCTCAGAGCCCGAAAGCGAGCCACAGCGATCCGGAGTGAAAGAGTCAGAAAATAATGACAACGCTGACGAGGATGAAGACGATAAGGAAGAAGAAGATGAGGAGGAGGAGAACGACGAGGAGGACGTCAAGAAAAAACAGTCTGACGAGTCGATTTACGAGGGCGAGAACGAAAACTCATCGGTGGGCGATGCGGATGCGAACAAAACACGCATGAAAATGTTTCAGCAGAAAGTTAAGGTCAAGGCTGACATACTGCGTACTAAATTGCAAGGAGTAACTAAACGGAAGCCCAAGCAGAAAATTGTGGTAGATGCGGCGGCCAACGGTGAGAAGAGCCGCCGAAAGTTCGGACAGTTTGCTACGCTTCCTAAAAAATTCACGTTTAACGCACCCAAAGTAAACTTTTCCACTGCGTTTGCCAACTTCACTTCGAGGAATCAACCGGAGAATGGCGACAATAATGAAGCCAGTACGGAGGACACGAAGAGCGGACGGTTCTCAATGCCACGGTTCGGCCGGTTCTCCAGGACTTCATCGGAGTCACCAAGGCCGTCCAAGTCGACGAAAATCGGAGCTTCCCGTATGTCCATATCCGGTTTCCGGTCACGCACCTGGTCGGACGCGTCGAAAACGTCAAAACCGGAGACTTCCAGACCCAAGATCATGGACTTCGGCACGTACCCGCGGATATTCTCCAAGAGAAGGAAAATTAACGCGGCAAACAAGGCAAAAACGCCGCCACCCTTGGCGGGGATGACGCAGCCGTCTGGTGGCGACGACGGAGAACCAAACAAATTGAAGGACACGTTCCGCCGGCGCTTCTTCCGCACGCACAAAGAGTCTACGCCAGCTCCGACTGAGAAGCAAACGGCCACGCTGGCCGTGGAGGAGGAACTGGACGAATCGCACGTGTCCAAGGAGTCTTTGGCTGAGTTCGGTGATAGTGATTTGCAAGAAGTGATATCGCTCAGCGACGACTGCAGCCGGCGATCGAAGGACACCAAGAGCTTATCAGACCACAGGCCGGGCGTGATCGAAGAGATCGACTCGGACGAGTTCTTCCTGCGCGAGAAAGGCTTAAGCCGTGGCGACGTGCACATTAGCAATTACTTGTCGTCGGAGATCAGAGACGTGTTCCGGTCGAACCGCACGTGGTCAGTGGAAGGCGTCAACAACAGTACGATCGGTAACAACAAAAACCATAACAATAACAACAATAACAACAATGACAATAACGGCAGTGGCAGTGGCTTCGCTACGCCTTTAAGGCCATCGCGGACCAATTCGTTGAAGAGAACCACGCGCTCTAAGAACACAGCCGACGGAAACGTGGACCGGTTTAGCACGATGCCGAAATCGTTCGGAGGCACTAAGCCGGCCAAGAAGCCAGAAGATGATGATGTACCGGAAAACATTATTACCAGCCAAACGTTTGAGCCGTCGCAAAACGGGGCCGCGCTACCGTCCACGTTCAGAGTGCCTTGGAGGACGTCCCAGAAGGAGAACTTACCGGCAACGGTCACGCACATGCCACCAAAACCGCCAACCCGGCATCGCATGACCAAGTTCTCCACGTTCGACACACGGTCGATGATTGATTTATCCAGGAAGAGAAGCCAGTCACAAATAGTGAGTAACAATAATATAGTTGCGAATATAACTAACGATATTATCGCACAAGGTCAGGGGAAATATTATGATCTCCGTTTTAGTTCCTACCTTATCTATTTCAGTATTCGTGATATAATAAAAGAACACGTTATGTTATTTGTGATGAACGCGAAAAAAAATTACGCTCAAGACAGGCCCATCATTTTGGACTGCTGCGGGTTTCACCGCATTCGGTATGAACGTTCATACGATAACTGAATACATAATGAAATGCGCATCGTGTGTTCATTCACTCTTAACCGAGAAGTGTCTCATCATCAAAAGTCACCATTTCGAATTGGTTAATATATTAATAATTCTATGACTTTTCCGAAAATGGCAGTTTACCGGGATAGTGGGACTTGTTTTTAAAACTAATTAAATGCGCGTTCCATATATTTAGTTCAATGTTCGACGCAATAGCAGCTGTACAATAATATGCGTGAACGGAAATGAAATTTTTTTCTTCACTTTTATGTCGCCTTGAAACCCACGCTCTGCTAACTTGTCTTGTTTGGAATAAACGCCGGAATATAAACACAGACATTGTGTTTACATTTTTTCTATGGTTGCAATAAAAAAAAAAAAAAAAAAAAAAAGAGAAATAATGGAAATCTAGTTTAATAATTCGATATAACTAACAATAATGATTTATATTATACGTATACTAAATACGATTTTCGTATGTCTCATCAATATAATTGAACACAAATCTAATAATCAATAAACAGAATGTTTTCCAAGAAAAAAAATATTAAAAAATGTCTAACAAATTGTTACGTTTTAAAAATATTTCGACATCATTATATTAAAATCACGTTACTTACTAAATAAACAGATTAAATTTTTATGTCACAAATTAAAATCAACTGAAAAAAATTTAAAAACACGTCTTTAAAAATAGATATATTTATCATAAGGACACATTAAATTGTGTATTATAGGAAAAAACTGTGACAATCTACGATAAATACCAAAGTAATTATTTGTAGTGGACGCATTCATTGTGATCAAATTCAAGTTTTTTCTGCACACCTAATAGAGGCGTGAACGAAAATTTTACTCTAAAACGTAAAAAAGTACTTTTTTATAGGTAGGTACTCAATTGAAAAAAAATATTATTTTTTTCACAAACCATTTGGCAAACACATTTTTTTTATTGGTTTTATAGTTTAAGCTTCACGTTGACATTATAGAATTTAATAAAGGTCAACACTTGTAATAATTTGTAAATGCAACTTGTGTTCGACGTAATTTACTATAACATCATGGTGATATATTTATGAGTTGAGAAAAAAAAAATTAACTCTCCCCCTAAAACTAAAGCTACGGTAACACGAAACTTTTATTGCTTGTTTTCTCAACTACTGATTGTATTAAGAACTTACGGTTATGAGTATTTTTATTTAATCTTTCTTTTGTTCGTATTAAAAGTAGCTTCGCGAAATTTGGTTCGAATAAAGAAACACAGTATATTTGTTCCAGCGTATAGCATAACTTTTTGTGTTGGGTATATGTGTTCAGTGGGTATCGAAAATAAGAATGAAAGTGCAAGGTTTTTGGATACGAACTAAAAACATAACGCAACTAAGAACAGGTTGATAATAATTTTTCATTGCACAATCATAAATTACATTTAGAAAAAGATCCCCAAGATGTATTTATAGTAAATTGCAATAGTTTCGGCCAAGATAAATCGAAAAGTAGTTAAAAAAGTAGCTAAAAGTAGTTTTCACTTTTTTAAAGGTCATCTTTTTTCTAGCTAAAAATGTGTTCGAACAGCATACGGGTCTAAAAACACTTTACCCGGTTTGAAAATACTCGTACGATTAAAAATCCTCTCACCCTCAAACCCAATGTTGTTGAACCATTGCGTACGATGCGTAACACGTGTTTTTCCGTGTCTCAGGGATTTCTGCCTTCGATGAATTTTTCGGAGACCGTCCCGAAAGCTCCGCTGCGCCGGTCCAGAACGTCGTTGGCCGGCTCCGAGCGGGACGTTTCCATGACAAGGGACATCCGGCCACCGTGGGCAGTGGACAACAGCGGCGGCGGCGGCGGCGGAGGCAGCGGTGCACCGACACCGCCGTTGCGACGTTCTCGGATGTCACTGACGACGGACGCGGACGTCGAGGAACGGTCGGTGGCCGCGGCGGTGAAAACCAGGGACACACCGCCACGACCTCCGCCTCCGACAGTGACAGCCGGCTACGCGACCGTGGACAAGTCGCAGTCCATGTCGCTGCTGCATCCACCGCAGTCGCCCGTTAGGCACAGGCGGAAGAAGTCGTACGACGTGATCAAGAGCCAAGAGTTCGGCGCGTTCTTCACCATACCCAGGTCGTACACTTTCAACCGGAACGCGCCGTCGTCGTCGGACCGAGATCGGCGACCCGAGGCCGAGCTACTGGCACCGCCTTCGAGGCCGGCACGCGCGTACAACACGATCGGACCGTCGCGGCCGCTCCGGCGCCGGTTGCCGACCCGCGAACATGAGTACGGCGACGTGGTGGACACCGAGACGCCGGCCGCGGCCGCGGGGCGCGGCGATCAGAGGAAAACGATGACCGTGACCCCTCGGTCCTCGTCCCTGGACGACGGCGCGACCAGTCCCGTAGCCGAAAGCTCGACCAAAGCGCTGTTCTCAGGCGACGTAATCGAGAAGATGAAGCTGCGGCCGTTGCCTTCACCGCCGCCGCCGCCGCGCATCAAGACCAAACCGCTCAACGACAACGACGTGGACGATAACGGATCGCGTTACCCGCGCCGCAACACCGACTCGGCCCTGGTCCCTTTTTTAGATCAGCGAGAGACATCTGTAACGTCGTCTGACGACTTCTTTGCCGATGTTTCTCGCGCCCTGCTCGCGTCCGCCGCCAAAAACACACCGGCCGCCGTCGCGGCGGACGACGTGTCCGTCGGCGTGCAGACGGACCCGTTACCGGACGGCTACGAGCTGGACGACGCGAGCTCTTGCTGTTCCGGCGAATCCGACCGACCGCGGTCCGTTGCGTCGTCGTCCACCGCGGCCGCGCGCCCGCCGACCGCGCGG